AAATATAATTTCCAAACTGGGACTGGAAAGCTTCAAGCTGGAAGTGTGGCTTTCCAGTCAGGAATCATTTCAATGTCCAGCTTGAAGTTTTCCAGTCCCAGTTTGACAGTTAAATTTACAGCTAGAAATTTTTCCATCTTCAGTTGGGAAATAATTTGCTCGATTAGCATGAAATTTTCCTGTTTGAGAATGATTATTTTATAAACGAAATTCGAGCCAAACAAAAAATCACTCTACATTCAAGTGATATAGATTAAGTGCTTACCCTGTTTATTCGAATGTAACGCGATTTTTCTAGTCTTTTTTTTCCTAGACATATCACATTGTTGATGATGACAGGGGGAGGTTGGGAATGACGTACATGCGTGTTATGTATTTATTTGTCATACTGTTAACCCTCACTTGAGAGTCATTACAGGGAGGGTGAAGAATTGAGTCGCACAAAATGAAATATTGGAAAAGACATTGTAAGATGAACTCTGTAACGTATAGCATAATTATATTAGAGACACAGTTGCATGCTTTTTCACTCAATACATTTACAACATAATATCTATGACCGATGAAACATTTGTAAGGAAACGCGTACATGAACACTGATAACTTTACATCTTCAACAAAATGCCTATCGAGAGCAACCTCAAAATCACTCAAAGTTCTTTTTTTAAGTATTTATTAGTATTTATTTGTGTTTGCTTCAAAACGAAAATTTCAGTTGCTAGTAAGCGCTCGTCTGTGTCCTCTCTGAGTGTTTGTAATTTTTAGCGCTAGTTTCAACATGAACCTTTACCAACACGCCCAACTGGCAGTCATCCTAAATGATAAGTGACCTTTCAGCAATGCAGGCTATCCATTCGAGCATGACTCAGAATATCACATGCATGCATGGGCGTCGACAGGAGGGTGAAAAAGCGGCACTTGCCCCCCTCAATAAACACCAACACTTGCCCTCACCGAAGCTACACCAGCTGCTGTCCTCCTCCCCCAGCAAGGGTGTAACACAAATTTTCACCCCCCCTCCAAAAAAATATCCTGCCGACGACCAAGATCATATGGCGCACTGCAGACATTTAACCACTGTGATTTTAGGCACCCCGTACAGCTGAGAATTAAATATAGGGCTGGGGCAGAATGTGCTTCTATTTGACCTTATAATCGTGCACTGGGCGAACATGGCGTTGCAAAGTGTTGGGTTTCGTAAGTGTTGTAAATGTCACGAGGCTAGTACCTCTAAGTGGTTCTAAGAGAGAAAGGAAGAGAAAAGTGAGCCCCGTAACCGTCTGCTTCAGCGAGCGAAACCTCAACAGTAGCTCACAAAGGATTGGGGTGAGGAGTGATTAAAAGGGTAGGAATGAAGGTGTAGATAGAGAGAAAGAGGCGTGAGGTGGTAAGGCAGAGATCGACGACATATCGAGGGGATAGGAGAGATAGGAAAGATGGAAACATGGTCACAGGAGTCCGAGGACGGGGCACCACTTGCGAGAGCTCTTGTCGGCGTCAGGAGGTGGCGTAGAGCAAGTCCAGTCGGTCATAGCTACACTGTCGTCGGAGGTCGGCGTCAGGAGATGACGTAGGGCGAGCCCAGTCGGCCAGAGCTACGCTGACGTCGGAGATCGCGAGGGCACAACCGGTCGGCACAGAATCCAGCGAGCGAGTCCCTCAATTAAAGCATATAATGTGGACTTCCAATCATCCACTGTTTCCACGTTTACACTTGCTGCTTCTCTGCTTACAGTTTTGTAAGCGAAGCCATGCCTCTTGCGGAAACAATCGATTCAGCCATTTGACTCTGCAAAATTAGCAATGCCCAGTCTGTCGACTATTTCTATCACCTTCTCACGTAAAATGCTGCCGTTGAAGTTGATACTCGCAGCGCAAGTTTGTTTGAACCAGGTGAGAAGAGCCTCGTTGAGGTTCCCGTGCTTGACGCCACGAGCTTCCTCAGCTTTCGGGACGAAGAGAGCGGCATTCCCTTCAATCTTGGCACACTACGAGATGATGCTGTTGAGTGTTGATGGTGGCAGTCTAATGTCTCTGGCAATGTCGACCCTTTTTCGCGCTGACTTCTTGTTGATTGCTTTAAGTACATCCAACTTTTACTCAAGGGAAAGTGCGTTCTACTTACGAAATGCCATTAAGGCTTGACAAAGATTGTGTTGACAAGTTCAACGGTAAAAGGCTTAGCGCACACACAACAGCGACTGAAGACAAGTCACAACGTGCGGTGCGGTAATGGGACTGTCAGGCACTACCGGCACTTCGTAGAGAAACTTCCATTGTAAGCACAGTGATGATGGTGATAGCACTTTTCACACATGGCCATCTAGCCAAGGCCTCTACAACTCACCGGCAGCTTCTTGCAACCTGTTTTGTAGCCAATCCAGGCCAAGACTGTATAATGTCAAATCAAAATGGAGGTGCTTGGGTGGGTTAGGCGGACTAGTTTGTGACGCATCGTGCAGAAACGTTTTCACAGTTGCCACGTAACAGCGGGGTTCGCAATACATGGGATTCTATGAGGCCTATGCTGAAACCGATAGACGACAACGTAACAGCCGAGAAATAGCAGCAGTGAGGAACGTAACCGAGGAGTTCCACTGCATTTCCACAGTAACGCATGTGTCGTTTGTCTTAAGAGGGGACACGGGTCCTGAAAGGCCGAAATCGCGAAAAAACAGACTGTTTGAAGTTGACATTTTCGGAATCTGCAAGTATTTTTGCACTTATCTGAGAAGTTTCAAGCTTCTCGCGTCACTATTTCTGGCACAAAATCAATTTATAACAACCCTGTGAGATGAATCTCAGCACAAATAGATGCTAAAGTCGTGCTTTTTCCATGCCAAACCGTTGCTGTTACACACGAGCTATCGTGGTCATCTTGGTCTCGTTTGGAAGAGTCGTTCTTCACTTTCAATTTCCCGCCACTAGTGGCTCGCCTTGCTCATTGGTTTTTCAGCAAAAACGTGTCATCGAGAAGCACCACCATGCGATTCTATTGGCTGCTTGGGGCACGTGACAAAACCTAGGCACCCCATCAGCCAAGTGGCGTTTCTGGCGTCTGCTCCTTCATCGTGACGCGTACGGACACGGACATTTTGTCATGGTACTGTCGACTGCCTGCCGCAGTAAAGAAGTTCCTCACCACACTAATTGTGAAACGGGTGTGGTGATCATTCATTCGTTGTGAACTTCAGAAAGAGCCCCGCTATCACTCGGGACAGGGAAGATAGCAAACTCACGGCATTCAACGGCAATCGCCGGGTCACCGGTGTAGGCCTAACTCACGTACGAGCCCGTCAGTTGTCGACAACGTCGCTGAAAGCGGCAGTGTTTTGGAGCTTCAACAGTTACAGGACGGCAAGTAAAAAAGCAGAAGTGAAGCTACGAGAGATAGCAATCTTTGCAATGGTGGAACGGAAGGGCAGTCTTATAGCTAAACGCGCCGATGCCGTGGGTTCCCCCCGTCTGACATGAACTGCGTGACAAGTCGTCAGAGTGGAGTTCGCCGCGCGCCGGCAAACAGAAAATCAATCAGTTTACGGTGAACTTGCTCGCCGCCCGTGCAATGAAGGCGACTGGTAACAGGTAGAATGCTTGTAGTGACGCGTCCACAACGATGAACATATTGCGCCGCGGCCTCCACTTGGAAATGTGACAATCTTACGTGAAAAGGAAACTAACACCTCGCTGCTCTTGGAGCCTTGAAATTGATAAGCGAGTACACAAGTTCGGTCTGCGACATCAACAACTCAATCTGGACAAGCCGGAAAAGCGCATTATTATACAATAGATCATGGATTACGCGTGCCCATAAGTCGCACATACGCATATGTGTCACCGAACTGATAAGTGGCCTAGTTGGCAGACGAGCACACGGCGACGGCATCAGCTCGCAAGTGTGCCTCGGCGGAAAACATGCCGCGGCCATTGAAAAAACGCCATTTAGGTGACGCAAAACAGAGGGACCACAAGCCTGGTGCCTGCTGACAAAGCTGAATTAGCAAATCATTCTAAATAAACAGCTTTTCCATGCTACTGTCAGCCGAAAATGGATTCAAATTTTGCTGCAGTTGTAAACTTGTCTAAAAAATATATCTGCCTTCAGAGCAGCTAGGACTGTCATTTTTGTTGTGACATGTAGCTGTATCTTTAGTTTCCACAATGGTAGGTATGAATTTTTCATTGAGATCTTAAATAAATTTAATTTTTGCCAGAAATTGGAGCATAAAGTGGGTGTGTCTGCAACACCGAAATGCAAGGTGCGACAAACCTTGTTAAAATTATCAAATAAAAAAAAGCACTCCTACCACGGTATAGCCTATATTCATTAGTACACAGGCATGTGCCAATTGTAGCTCTGAAATATAAATTTCTTGTGTCATTATACCGGCAAACAATAGGTAATTAATTTTAGGATAACTAAAAAACTAATTGGTTTAGAGGAACAGTAATTACATTTTTGAAATCAGCATCAAAAACTAATTCCCACTGTGAATTTTTTTTTTTATAAACACATGAAAATATCTGGCATTTCCTCTCAAGTACAGTGTTCCCCCTTAAGCGAAAGTTCATTTTAAGCGGGGCTGTCATATGTGGGCTTGACTGTAACTTATTTTGTGCCACCTTTGTTATTTATAGTACTCCCCCTGCAATATTCTGAACAAATGCATGCTCAGTTGTGGACCCAGCAATTATCAAACCATGTGGCATAGCTAAACTAATCTGGATGTAACTTGTCACAGTTTTACCAAACACTGTCCTATCAAATTTCGAGTTTTTCTGTTTTCGTTTTTTGTGCACAAGCAAGAGCTTTCAAAGCAAAAGCTTTTTACGCTTTTGCTTTAAACATGCTTGCTGATGTGCCTGGACTTGAGATCTAGCCATCAACTTTAGCTGCTGAATGGAAAGTCTACCCAGTTACGTGTGTATGTTCGGTTGTCTGCCCATCCATTGCCGATAGCTAATGGAGTTCTATCTGCGTTCAAGACTTGTGCTCTAACCTTGGGCTGTAGCGACTCGGGAGTGAGGGCATCCAGTTCGGTCTGCAGCCGCTGAGGCAATCCCGGCAACAGCGAGAGGCCTCCTGAGAGGAACACAGAGCGTGCCATCTGTCGACGCACATCCAGCGAGCATTCCTGAAGGGCACGCTGCAGCAGCTTGCCGAGGCCTGGGCAGTCCAGGCCCCACAGCTCAGGTCGAAACAAACCTTCTGGGCACTGAAACCGCCCCAAGTCCAAGCGGGCCTCCCTGCAGACAAAACATCAGGGCTGTCTGAAACACTACAAGCCAGAGATCCCACATTTTCTCATTTTCCTAATAAGTACAGTTTCAACAGAAAAAGATTTGCACAAGTGAAAAGTGGTCGAAGCCGCGAAATCGCGACACGTGATGCATTTGTTCATGAGCCCACCAATAGCAAAATCGCCAAGCACATTCCGTTTTCCGTCGGCGGACCAGGGGACAAGCAGCTTATCATGCTCTTGGCCCATCCAAAAGGCCATATCAAAGAAACGCTTGTTAATAGCTTATTCACAGATGTGGCTATGCAGACAATATGTTTTTTGCTTTTTTTTCACTGCAGTTGCAAGCAACCATATTTTTGTTTTATTGCAGTTGCCCAGAAAAAGATGCTTGTTGGAGTGCTTTCCGCCAGCCACTTCTGCTTTCGAAAATGGAGTGTTCTTGAGGATTGTCGTGCTTGGGGAAAAAGCAGTGTCATACGTGAAGCAATCTTGCCGCTTCAGCAGTCAGTTACTAGTGCCGATCTTCATTTTTTTCATTGGGACTGCACATTTATGAGCATTAATTCAGCTTTGTTAAACAACATTAGAATTATTTTTGAACCCATTGGAATTAACAAAGCTTTGTTTGGGTGAGCTAAGCAGACATAAATGGTCTCAAGAATTCTTTTTCATGAGCCACAACATGCATGTCACCACGCGCTGAAATATTTATTTATTTATTTATTTATTTATTTAACAATACTGCCAATCTCATCAGAGACAATAACAGGGAGGGCATATGAAAGTGAATATTTGTTTACACAAAGTCATAATGATAGAAAACACAAGAAAAAGCCGGAATCAGAAAATGACATACAAATCATAAATTATAGATTTCTATTAAAAGAACACACAATCAAACAACTTTAGTAATAGCAAAATCATGAACTAGGTTATCATTAAAAACGACTGCAAAAAGATAATGCATGCGTTTATATTATGGGGCTGGGACAACAAGTAGACATTTTTATTGAACAACTTACCGTATTTACTCGATTCTACCGCGCCCTCGATTGCAACCCGCACTTGGTTTTCACGATGAAAAAAAAAAAAAAGCAAGACATCGATTGCAACGCGCACTCATTTTTCTTGTTGGCTCGCACGATCACACTACTCGGGAAAACGACTCCTTTCGGGAGCGTCTTCCGTTTACATATGAGGTACGGGGGAAGCATGTGCCTATCTGACGTGCAACGGAGCATTGCCGTCACTCTTGTTTTACCGTGGCCCGATGTCAGCATGCGAACTTGCTTCGCGCCCTTTTTCTCGACAGTTGTGGTGCCAGGCGTGTCGAAGTGAAGAGGCGTCTGATCGGCATTCCCGATTTGCCCAAGCAGGTAGCCGTGGTTGTGCCGCAAGTTTAGGACGAACCTCTGAAAACTGTGAAGCTTTTCTTCGTACTCCTCCAGCAAGTTTTGGCCCATGCCCATTCGCTTTTGGAGGGAAAAGCCTTTCCTTTTCATTAAGTTAGTTAGCCAGCACCTGCTCGCTTCGAACTGGCTCCGCGTTAGCCCTTTTTCTAAAGCTAACTGCATAGCCAGCACTTAAAGCAGTTCTGTCGTCACAGGCCGCTGTGCCGCTCGCTGCTCAAGCACATACTCGGCGAGCAGCCCTTCAATTTGCGGAAACCGACCCTGCTGTGGTCCACTTAAGCCTTTGCGTGAATCTTTGGTGTAGTCAATCTTCTGCTTTTGTTTCCGCCAGTCCCACACGCACGTTTCGGGAACTCCGAACGACCGCGATGCGGCCCGATTTCCGTCTGTTTCGGCACACGCGATGACTTTTCTTTTAATAGCGGCATTGTGGTGCACTCGTCGAGTTTTTGGAGTTGGCCCTTCCATGCCGTCGATGCTAATGAACTACAAGATGACGAACTCTTCAGCACATGTACGAAGTGCCACACATGGGAAACACATAGGCAGAAATGGCCGACCCGCCATGCCGAAGCACGTAGGGGGCGGCCATTTTAGAAATGCCGATGGCAATAGAATGACCGTATTCATTTTTTTTCACACTCGATTTTAACGCGCATGCCATTTATGAACTCGCTTAACCGGAAAAAAGGTGTGCGTTAGATTCGAGTAATTACGGTATTCAAATAATTTATGAACAATAAACTAATTGAAAAACATGTCACTTGAAATATAACGATCATAGAAAACAAAACTTTGTATTAGTAGTAACATGACACTGACTCATAATTTATTGGGTTTATTGATGACGTGATGTCGTTAGTGCGATCTATAAGGCAGGCAATATATATATATATATATATATATATATATATATATATATATATATATATATATATATATATATTGCAAGCAAATATATATAGAACAAAAAGAATATTTTGATTCCGGAGATCACCGACAATGTGTTTCTAAAATTCTGAAATTCCCTTTAAAATTGATACGAGATATCAGAAATGCCACCTTCTTTCAAGTGGAAACATTACTTGAGCTTCTGTTTATAGCCCCTCCTCCGTCATTGCAACACACTCTCCCTGTCCATGTCGGATTAATTTTTGCAAATGAGTTCTGCGGAAACCCGTAAGGTGGCGGAAGAATTAAGAAAGGGAAAATAGACAACCACAATTTTTGCCACCGCGGCCCAACAGCTGGTGTACAATTGAGACCTTAGTAATACAGAACAACAACCCACTTGCAAACCTACATACTTTGTTAACTGGGACTAATGCTTTTTTTTTTCTTATAATCATCAGTGTGACATTGTCAGTGATGTTACTGACCAAAGGCTTTTTTGATGAAGCCTCTGAAGCATCTCAATCTAGAGCAGCATAATTTTTTGGAGGAGTCAACTGTCATACACGTTCGAACACAAACATTTATACATGTGCAAGTTGTAGCATGTTTAAAAAAAAAAAAAAAACAGCTAAGTTCAGTGCACACATGCAAGTATGCTTACTTTGAATATTCCTAATGCTTAATTAAGTTTGTGCACCGCTCTCAGTTTTTTCGTCAACATTCCTAAGTTACTAGATTTCTAATATCTCGGGCAATCAAAGACTTGCAACCATTCACGTCGTATTTGTAAATGAATCTGGTTTTTTTTTTGGTGCTTTAGTTTCTTGAAGCTTTAGCTGATTAGTGCCTGCTGTCATGTTTCATCGACAGAATCATTAGTATCCTGGTGCCTGCATGATTATACCAACAAACAGGGTTTAGTAACTGGTTCTTTGTGCCTGAAATCTGCTATTCACTACAGCAATGTTATGGTAATGGATGGGTATGCATTCACTTTTGACAACCTCCTGAAAAAATACTGTTGCCACAATAAAGAAGGCCAAATAAAGTACTATACCGGCAGCCTATAACGAACTTGAGCGTGACGTGGCATCCATTTACTTTATCCCGAAGTTCATAGCAAATAAAACAGCTTTAAAAAGTTGAAAATGAAAACACAATTTTTTTTTGCAAAGAAGTCTGTAATGCACGTGCTTTGAAGAGCAAAAGCGATAAGTTTATTTAAAGTGGCAGCGTGCTCCCTGCCGAGGCTCTTAGCATATACAAACTACCTGAGTTAATGTATCCAATCGCTACAATTGCTACAAGCATGTTTGTAGGCACTAGCTCCAAAGTTTCATTGTCATCATCATCTGATTCTTCCAAATTGTTCTGGCCGTGCAGTTCATTCACAATGTCCTCATTTGAGCTTGGTTCGGCAGTGCCAGCATCATCATCAGCCGCAGTGAAATGATCACAACAGATGTACCACCCTACCATGCTGGAGGCGACGACGCACTGCCATAAATCACTGCCAGAAAGGCCCTGTTCCGAAGCTTCAGGCCTGCCATTGGGTTTGATGTCGACAAAGTTGGCCTCGCTAACATACACATGCAGACGTCACCTCCGCCCCAGTAGCCTTCACCATCTCCACAGCTGAATACAGGGACACCCGAAGCGGCAACTTGGAAGCCGGGCGGTCAACAGATATGAGCAAGCGCTCTACAACACGGCACCTGTAGACACACTGTGCTTCTAATTCTCCACTGATAAGAATGCCTTTAGCGGCACATGCGACCATGTCATGATGGAAGCTTTTGAAAGCTGTGGCCAGCAGCAGTGTTCGTGCGAGCTCCTTCGTGTTTTTGCCCAGTTTTGCTAAAGATTTCTTTGGCCGTCATTCCATGGCTCGGCGAACCAGCAGCAAGGTTTATTGGGTTTTGTGTGGGCTGTCACAATATCTACAGCAATTCACCTGGAACGAAGTTTTGCCGCTTCCTGAAGGCTCACTGGGAGGAGAGGTGGTAAGGTTGTATACAATATGTGTTCTTTGCAACACGTACTAAGACATTTTGTCATTTTATTTGGGGCAGGTTGATACATTTATTTCACAGGAGAGGTGCCCATGAAATAGAACATTGTTTCGGACCTGCCTTGGTTGCAATACACCCAATAATCATGGTGTCCTAATAGAGATGTATTTATTTCACGCCTCTGCATCCTTTACACCAGACCAGAGGAAAATGAAGAAGCTCGTTATGAGCCAGGATCTGACCGATCAAATCCTGGCTGTCCAGAGGGCTTGCGCGATATACGTGACCATCCCTGAGTGGGCCTAGCCAGGTAACGTAGAGTTTACTCACCAAATCGCTATCACGGAGAGATTGTTTAATTCTCGTTATTTTATGCAGCCCTGACGGAACAGACTGGGAGGCCTTAGAAAATAGCTGAAGTTGCAGTAGGCATTTCTTGGCGCTGCCAACACTCTAAAATATGACCTAGTAAATGGGTGCTTTTTGTTCCACAACAATAATCATCTTCTGGCTTGCCTGCGCTTCCTTTCTTGAAAACTCGGCGCTAACCACTTTCCTGTTAAGAATGCTATGTCGCACTGATCGCCTGCACATCATTCCGGGCTGGAATGTGCCAGGCGAGCAGCGATAAATCAAGGAAGGCCACCTGGTCTCAGAGATAGATGATTATTATTGTGGGACGAAAA